TCACTCAGATGGTTTGCAGAGAGGACAGCCAGGCCTGATTCAGTATGAGCTCTGCACCTCCACCCACCTTCTTCCCATCAAGAGCTGAGCAGATCCCCAGATGAAAAGACCTCCCTCATCTCCTGAAAACAGAGAGAGAGAAAGAGAGAGCAAGCCCTACTGTGGAAGTAGAGAGCACAACCATGAAACTGCCTGACTGTGGCTGATGCAGGAGCACCTCCTGGTGTTTCAAAGCCAGAGAACAGGGAGATTTAATGGAAGATACAGAAGTAAACATATATATATACAGGCACACTTGTTTAGAGGGAGAGAAGTTAAGGACAGCATATTGGCTTTGATCTCAGTGAGGCATGTATTTATTACTGAGTTCTGCATAATTTTGTCTCATAGAACAAAGATCAGCATTCTGTGAAGCCTGTTTTATCTTGTACTGTCATCTGTTCTCTTATATTCACTGACCTTCTTGCCTGTAATAAATCTATTAAATCTCCTTTCTTCAATCTCATAAAATAACAGATTTTTCAATTTACAAAAAAAACCATTTTGAGGTACAGCATGTCAACAGGGGAAAAAGATACCTTTGAGGCAATAAAACAGGGAAGTTTAACAATGTGGATGTTTGTAGGGGAACAGGGGATTAGAAAAAGAGGTTGGCAACACAGAGGAGTTTACTCATGAAAATAAATGGAGATTATCAAGAAAGTATAGAGTACATACCAGAAGCTGTTTTACACATTCTCATGGGCAACAAGAAGTGAATGCTTTACTGGTGTTTTGTTATTATTGCTGGTACACTGGGGATTGACAGAGAATGTTTTAAGAGCTAAGCAGTGTGGATGACCAGTTGTCAGGGCAAAACTGCTGAGTCCGTGGTTACCCCTTACATGCCTCCAAACTATGTGATTAGAAAGACATGGGTTTTAGAGGAATCTCATTTTGAAAACATACTCACTGTGTGCTGGACATGAACACATACCAAAAGAAATATCCATTAAATATTACGTTCATGGGTGTGTGTAGACATGTGTGCATGTGTAGATATGTTTAACTATTTGTCTTGTTTTGGACTAAACAGATAAGGTATAGATTTTTGATGTTGCTCTGAGGCTTGAATTTCAGATATTTTAGCCATAAAAACTCATTCAATGTGACCTTTTACTTTTAAATATTCTCATGCTGCTTTCCAGCAGATCATGCCCTCTAGGGGACAGTTTGTACCACAGGTGAAAATTCTGAAACATAATGATGGTCACTGAGGTGAAATTATTTCTAGATGTATTTGGTTAAAGAAGTGAACACATATTGCTTTCACGAGAGAGGGAAAACTCAGAAATCTCATCTGGAATAATGGTCTGTAGAAACTAGCCCAGACTAGCAAACCAGAATTGAAAACAACCTTGTGATTGCTAAGTGTTTCAGAGGAAATGAGTGAAGAAGGAAAAAAATTAGGTAGGGTGCTGTTTTCCAGCTAAAATTGCGTGCCTCTGACTTCCTTGCAGAAGTACAACAATGAATAATAATGTGTCTAGGAGCACAGAATAAAAAGCAACACGAGAAATGAATAATCAAGAAGAAAAAAGCAGTGTGGTTTAGCTGTTTAATAAGGTCAGGGTGACTGGGGAGAGGGAAGGAATTAACCCCATCACAGTATTTGCTGTTATTATAAGGAGCTATACAAGCAATTCCATAACTGATGTAGCCCTCACTTTACAGCAGCTGTTTTTCACAGTGGTTATATAACATTGCATGTAGGCAGTGGTGCCTCTTTCTCTCATGCTTCTTTGGCCTGCTGTTCTACATTTGTATGTATCACCTGGTCTTGTGACAGACCACAGTCAGCCATCAAGCTTCCTATTCCAGTTGGAATATGTGTTGCACGTTCTCAGTGCAACAGAAACATTTTCAAGATTAGACCTTTTGATGACATTTGACAGCTGGAGAACAGTGATGGTTTGCAGTTTGGGTATGTGCAGACGTCCAGTAATGTAGTTCTTAGTATTTTCAAGTTCACATGGCCCCACTGAAACCTGTGGGAGGATGGTATTTTATGTTTATTGAAAACCTATCTCACTGATTCTGACTTCTGGTTTTAAATCTGCCATATTTAATTTTGTTCCACTGCCATAATTCTGGCAAAAAAAAAAACCCAAAGATCACAGTGTATGTTTGTTGTTTCCTGTTTCTTATATGTTCTTTTTTCAGATTGCAACATAGACCTTTCTATAGCAGTTGACACTTCCAGGCGCATGCAACCAGCACCCACAGTGCTTCTGAAACAGAGATTGCAAGCATTCCTCCCTAGACTTTTACTCCAGATGAAATCATTACCAAATACCAGCTGTAATGCTCCAGTCAACATTAGATTCAAGTTCCAAGTATTGGCACAGAACAAACAATTCATCTTTGACTCTGGTTTTGAAGACTATAATGAAGAGATCATCCAGAAGTTCTTAGATGCACAGGCCACTGTGGACACCTACCTGAATACAGACTTCTTGCAGGCACTTGAGGAGAAGTTCTTTAATGTGACCTCTGCTGAAGTTAAGGTAACTTGATGGTATGAACGTATATCTTGGAAAGAAGTTACACAGCTTGATGTTTACAGATTCTGATGCTGAGTACTCCAGGGAAGCAAAAATGTAGTTCAGGAATATGTGAATTTAATAAACAGAATCAGAAAATGGTAGAGATTAAAAGGAACTTCTGGAAGTCACCTTGTCCAACTTCCCGTCTCAAGGACAGACTGCCCAGGACCATGTCCAGATGGCTTTTGTGTATCTCCAAGAATGGAAACTCCTCAGCCTCTCCAGGCAACCTGTGCCAGTGCTCAGTCACTCATGGAATAAAAAGCCTTTCCTTATTTTTATATAGAACCTCCTGGTTTTTTATTGACCTGATATAAATACATATTTCAATTCCAACTCCCCAGGCACTCTTGCAGCGAGATGGCACCCAGAACATTTGTCTTCGTACATATGATCATGGCTATTCATACAGATAACCTTCTTATATCTACCATGAAATGCTTGTACTTCGAGTAGTGGAAAGTTGTTCTCTTTTAGGAATACCTGATCCTGATACTGTATCTCCGTCCAGAACAGCAACAGCTCTAAGCAGAAATCATGGAAAAAGGTCATCCAAGAAATTTGTTTACAGAGGTTTATTCATGTCATTAACTTATCAAATAATTTCCAGTAACAAAGCTGAGTTCTCTTTAAGGGTAACTGATGATAAGGAAAATCTGCACAGATGTAGTTTATTCATCCATCTTGAAGTGAAGTATAAAGCTTCATTTAATCTCTTCTGAAATGAATGGGGAGTCTTTCAACTTGGGCTCAAGAAATTTAGCCCTCACTGGAGTGTTTCAGGGTCAATGTCCTGACAATTTATTCTTAATAAGGCACTGGCGCAGTAAAGCACTGAGCATGTCCTGAGTAGCTGTTGAATATCATTACTTACTAAGTGATGCAGTAGGACCTTCCTACTGAAGAAGGACCAATTACTCCTTGCCAAATACATAAGGGGTTTCCTCTTTCAGCCTTATTTTAACTTTTATAAAATGTTGATTTTAATATCGTGGAAGGAGGAAGCCAAATTACAGATCCCCCTGCTTTCAGATGAAAGTTGGTGTTCTATTTTTTATAGCATTTGCATAGGTGTGGCTTATCAAATTAGGTTGTCATTTGCTGCATCTTTAATAGCTTTTTTTTTTCCAAAGATCTCTTAAAAAATGTCTGAACAGGGTAGATGACCACGTAAGGTTTTGCTTCTTATGAGCCTCAGAAGGAGAGCTTGTTTGACATATCGGCAAAAAGCAGTGCTTTTTTCCTCTGAATTGCCAGTTCTGAAGGTTAGAGTCAAACAAGCTTCTTTCTGCTTATGCATTATTACTAGAAATAAATATGTTGCGTATTTCAGCACTTTACCAATGGATTAATATTCCTTTCTGATACTGTTTATGTGCAAGTTGAAAATACAAGACTTTTAAAATCCAAATGAAATCACAATTTAATTGCCCTAGCAAATAACATGCTTGTTCTGTAATGATTATTGATTATAAACCTCATCAGGGACAGGGATTCTCTGATGTTTGCATTTCTTCTTTATTATTTGTTTGTTTTGCAGCAAAAGAGTTGGATCTGATTCCAGCATTTTTTGACAAAACATGACTCATATGTGTTCTAACAAGTGCTTTATATAAAGATAAGCTTTGTAAACGTAGTTGTTTACATATATTTACATATAATGACCTCACTGACACCCCGTATTCCCTACTCCCCAAGTTTTAAAAATGAAAAGATTATAGAAAAAAAAAAAAAATCATCAGGCCCTACAGGCCTACAGTGTCATTCCTGACAGTCTGTGATGTGTTTAATCCTCCATGGTCCAGCTCTCCACTGTATCACAATTTGCTTGAGCAAATAGAGAGTCACTACCAGTGCCTCCATATGGGATGTTTGGGAACAGCACCAAAACCAGTGAGCTCTGCCTGTTCTTAAATTCTTGTCTCCTTGCTGCTTTAGCACAGCAGTGGAATGTTTGGTGTGGTGGTCAGTTCCTTTGCCCCTGTCACCTGTGGAAAAATTTACCTTAACAGGAGTAACAGGGTTTGCATTGGTCAAAGATGTGTCTTGTGCAGGGAATGTAAAATATGAAGAATAGGAGGGAAGAAGCTCTAGCTGTGCTTGTACAGAGTGTAGGAGGACTTTAAGTTATTACCACTGGGGACAGGAGACAGTTCAGCTCTGCAGCTTTTTTCTGGGAAAACTTATCAGCTGGATGAGTGGGTCCTGAGAAGACTTCTGCTTATTAGAAGAGGGAAGGTGGGGAAAAATAGGAAGAGACTGGTAGCTCAGAGGGAAACTGTAGAAAACTGTACTGTCCTCCACTCTGGAAGAGGCTTAACTATAGGTCTTTGGCCTGAAAAGGTAGAAATGTAGCCAATACAAATGATTAGAATCCATAGGTGCGCTAAACCTTATGTCTTAACAAGATAAAATATGGCAGAGAGTGGAGCAGGGTAATGTAATGGATAAGTTGCAGCAGCATTGGCCTTCCACCTCGCATGCTAAGAAGATGACAGACATAATATAATTAATAGCCATGCTATGAACTGCTCACCAAGACAAATCCCTCACATTCAAGTGCTGTCAGGGAAAACAGGCTTTTGTGTTCTGTTTTCCTTGCTCCTCAGCACCTTTTTCCCACACACATTTCAGATCTACCACAGTGAAGTGCAATTTGACCACCTTGTAGCCAGTTTTCAATGCAAACTGTACTTTTTACGATGACTGAACTTTCAGTCCCTGCACAATTGACTTGGCATTACTCCCTTTCCTGACAGGTTCTGTTAGTATTTTCAGATGGGTTGGATGATTCACTGGAAGATCTCAGGAAAGCATCTGACTCGCTTCGCTTTAAAGGTATTACAGTATGATGTTGGTTCTCCAGCCTCCTTCTAGCCAAAGCCCAACGTATTGCTCACCCACTGCAAATTTTCCATGTAGTGTTGCCTCTCCATGCTCATGTGGCATTCCTCAGGAGTCCCTGGGAGACTGTTTGCTTCTCCATGTGAACCAACATACGTAATTTGTCGCTGTTTGGCAGATGATACCAGAAAAACACACCTGGGTGTGCAGAGGTTCCAGTTTCTGGAATCCAGCTTCAACAGCTGATGCGACTCAGGACAGCCCCCTCTCACTGATGAGTACAGCACCAGAGGTTAGGCATAACTCAGCCTTCTGCAGTGCAAAACACTAATGTTGGGGCACTGAGTAGCAATCTGGTCCAACGACTGAGAAGTTAACTGGAAAATTACTGGTCTGGATTTTTCTTTTACACATTGTTCTCAATAGCTTGATTTCTTTTAACATACTGTGTTGAAGCTGTGAAGTGCAAGCCTTTTAGAGAATTGCTGGTACTTAAAAATATATTGTTGGTTAAATAGTGTATTTCAGGCATTCACTAATTAAAATCTGCGCTTATGTTGAAGGTCTTGATGCACTCCTATTAGTTGGCCTGGACAATACACAGAACTTGACTGAATTTTGGGAAATAGAGTTTGGCAGAGGGTTTGGATACAACGAACCTCTGAGTGTTGGGTTTGCAGAGATTGCAAGCATCTTGCAGAGAAACCTTGTAAGTCCTTCTGTGATAAAAAAAGAATGGAGAGAAAAATCAGTCTTTGCTTTATGATTAATATACATAAATGAAATGTTTCTTGTCTTTTTTCAGGATACTGTTGCAGAAAGGAAATGCTGTAAGGTTATTTGTAAATGCCTTGGAGAAAATGGTGATCGTGGTGTCCGAGGAAGTCCAGGAAGTAAGGTAGAAGGTCTAATATGGACATTACAGAACTGCTTTATTCTTCAAAGTACTTCTGGGTTTTGCAGTATTTCAGAGCGTGCATGCACGTGCCCATGACCTTAACTCGTAGGACAGCGTGCTTGGAGAACAGTGCTACTTATCTTTTAAATTCTCATTTTTCAGGGAAGTACAGGTTACAGAGGATCTCCTGGCCATCCTGGTGAGGAAGGTGGGGTTGTAAGTAAACATATTTCTTTGCTATGATGCTGTCGGTTGGTGCCTGAGTCTGTCTGCACTTACTCACTGAGTATTCACCAGTGCTAATCTAAAATGTGTTTAAGCCAAAAGTAAGTTGGTTATTCAGGTAAAAAAAGAACAACCCACCAAAAGACCTACCTTCAAGTACAAATATTTCAGTTGGAGGTTGGTATCGCAGTCTGAAACGTGGCATGATAGTGAGAGCAGAGAACCAGGTGCAACTCAAATTAGTAATTGACTGCTCTTTTATGGTCAGGATGAAAATCTCCAGGTCACTTACACTTACACTTAGTGCAATGAATGGTGATAGAATTCTGTCTTGCTTTAGTCTTCTGTGATGAATTCACAAGTAACTGTGGGGAGTGGAAGAATGCAATCTTACAAGGAGTGCAGAGAGATGCTAGAAGAACTCCAGTGGGCCTCTCAGGAAGACATTCATCTCGAAGTGCTCTGACAGCCGAGGTCAAGGAAGAGTCTGCCATCCAGTGATAATAAACAGACCCACCACCACTCCTTCCTGACCTTCCCCCTCTCCCTATGTGGCCAGACATATCCCTATAAGCCAATCTCTTCAAACCCCCTTATCAGAAATCCTTGGGATTCGAGGTTTTGTGGCACAAACCCACCCTCTACCAGAACCTTCTATAGCCCCCCTATAAAAGCACCCTCGTAATAAAGGAATTCGCCATTTTGCGAGTCATATAACGTTGTGTGTATGTCTCTTGTCCCTATGCAAGATGAGCCCTGGGTCTCTTGCGTGGACGCAGTCCCCCCCACGCAAGAAGTAACCATCATTGTTGGGATAAGACTGAACATTTTGTTTTCTTTTTTAGGGGGAGAGAGGCCCAGCTGGTTTCACTGGGACTCAAGGAGACAGGGGTTGTCCAGGTGCTAGAGGCCATAAGGCAAGTATATAACTTTGGAATATTTCCTAATTTTGTGTCCTGCAAACCTGTTTTCTGTACTGGGCACAAATCAGGGGACTGTCTTACTGAAGCATGGGTAGAAAACAAGACCCAGCTATAAGACTGGGAGACAGTGTTTGCTGTCTCATTTTGAGAGGTATTTGAAGTAACTGAAGCCTGGTCAAACAGCTAAGGATTTTGCTGTCTAAGAAACTTGACAGTGACTTTTTCACCACCAGCTCTAGGCTGGCCTTAGTTAAAGCTATAAAGCTTTATGGAAAAAAAATGAAAATTAGGGCTGTACTGTCTCCCCACCGGAAAGGGGTAAATTCCATAAGCGGCAGTAGAGGGTTTTAGAGCAGAAACTTAACCAATACCGAGCCCAGAATGCCCCTGCACAGCAACCTATGGTGCCCTGCTTTTCAAGCTCAATAAAGTACTTTTACCAAATTTCATCTGTGTTTATTTTAATTTCAGGGGACCAGAGGCTACAGAGGAAATCAGGTATGTGTGCTCATGTGTGATCAATTGTCTTTGAGAACAGTGTTCTGCTTCCTTTAAAGTTCATGTTACCTTGTAAGAAAATACCAGCAAAGGAGGAAAACAATGTAAGAGCTTCAGACCATTTAATGTACTTTTGCTATGGTTGTCTAAGAGTGAATTTAAGATACATATCACATTATTCATAGTAAGCAGTCATAATTTTACTTTTATATGGTTGCAGTCATAGTTGATTTATTCTAACTAACAGGGCTTTATTTACTGACTAATTTGATAACCTGTTAAGGTGGTAATTCTGGTCAGCTGAATCTCATATTCTAATTGTTGAGGAAGCAGAGTAGAGGGGAGAAAAAGATTGTGAATAATATTTATTGTGGGTTTGGACAGCATTTTCACTATATCATTCTTGATACTATTGACATTATTCAATATCCAAACTTCTCTTCATGCTGTTCTTGTCACCCACAATTAGTGCAAGTCTGTTTGTTTAACCATTTAAACATACCTGTTCATCAAACAGATATTGTCACCAGTTCGTTAATAAAATGTGAAGCCTGGAAGACAATGATCTATAATGGCAATATTGGTTCCTAAGCTACAGTAATTGAAATGGCATTAACTTGAATTGAATGCTTTTATACAAAACCACTTTCTAAAAAAGACTTGGGAACCTCAAAGACTCAGGTGATACTTGCCTCCGTAACTGAGCAGCAGTGAGAAAGTTGAGTGTGTTTCTGATACCTCAGCTCTATTTAAAGTACTGCTCCATACTAACTTTTTAATCTTCTCCCGTGTTTCTCTTTCCTTTTCCATTTTCTACTCTGTTCTCTGAAGTAATTTATCCTTCTTTAAATATCTGAAACATCTGAGTGTAGAAGAGGGAGAGTGCTTACTGATGATTTTGATTTGTCCAAGTTGAATAGCGGAGTAGAAATTACCAGGTGCACAAACTCTACTGAAATCCAATGAATATGTGACTATCTTCATTATGTTGTGTCATTATATCCACTGATTTTATTATAACTAAAAATATGAAACTTTCAACACATGAAAAATGTGATTCAATTCTGCCAACTAAGTAAGGTTGAGGCAGTTTATTGAAGTTTGCAAGGCATTTTAGTATAGCTATTTGGAGAAAAAAAGGCAATACTGACTATTTAATACTATGAAGTTTAGCTCAGGTTTTCTGAGGTAGGACATGATTGACAGAAAAATAACACTTGAATAAAAGTCATGATTGCTTATTTAGTGCTTATAATTTTTCTGGAATACTTACTCAGAAATTCTTGTTCATGACATATTAATCTAATCAAAATGTGCAGCCAGTTATTTTTTCTAGTTGTACATACAGAATTGTTATAAATGAAAGAAATTCTTCCTCATGAACTTTAACTAGGTGGTTTTGCAAAGTCAATTTAGCATCAAAACCTACAAAGCAGTTGTATCTGTGGTCTCTCACAGTGAGACTCCTGATGGTTTTAACTTGTGCCACTTTCAGTGATTGGTTGGATATAATTTCAGCTTTCAGAGTAGTGGTCTCTGCTAATTTAATTTTTTGCTACAAATTAAAATATCAGAGTTAATTCCTTCATTTTTATCCTAGTAAAGAAAGAGGGAAGAAGCTTATTTGGTCAGGTCTGAAACATGGTGAAGTGTGAATAAATGAAATAACATTCTCACATTTATAAGTCTATTTAGATGCCTCACACAAGTTAACATTGCAAATTCCTTAAAGGAGGAATGGGTGTTTTGTGGGAAAATATCTTCCGTAAATGGTTGCAGTATGGCAAATCATTTTTGCTGACAAAGGGAGGAGAAAAGCAATGTGTGTTTGAAAAGGAAGATGACTGCCATTTAGGTAGCAAGCACCACATTGCTGAAAGAATTAGGGATTTTATTTAACAAGTCCCAAAGCCTAAGATCAGGCTTCTGTAATTTTTTTAATCATGGTCATTCTTTCTAGCTTTTCAATACACTGTTCATGGTATAAAGCTATGTAAAAAAGAAAAGCACAATACAAACACATGGTGGTTGACATCAAAATTAAAAAGTTGTCAGCATGATAGGCCAAATACTAGTAGTTATAGTTTGAAATATATCTAGGTAGTGAAGTTGCTGCAGTTGGAAAAAGATTTGAAAAAAAAAAAAAGAAGGAAAAGCAGAATGTAAATCCTGATGAAAATCTATAGTTTTAATAACTGTTGTTCTTATTAACTGTTCTTAACAAATAATTGTTTAAGATGTTTTTAATTTGTTCTTAATTCCAATTTACAATTATTGTTCTTAATTATTCTTGCTAGCCATTGAAAACAACTAACCTTATTCAAGTTTCAAAATGTAGGGTGAATGCTTCTTCCCTTGCTCAGAGACAAGTGGACTGACGCTAAAAGGGAGTTTATTGCTTTTTTCTGCAGGGTGAATATGGTGAGAGTGGATTTGATGGCACTGATGGAGAGCAGGTAATCATTACATGTGCGGTGTTACTAAAGACACCTACCTTAGGGTTCAAAAGTACAGGTTTTATGCCTTGAATAGGCTTTAATCCTGAACAGAAATTCCATTGTTATGTGTTTAGAATTGCATATCTGATTAAGGTTGGATTCTACCAGACTAATCCTGATAACCACATTTATCATTAAGAACAACCATTATTTTTTTCTTCTTTTTCCCCCTTTTATGAGTCTAGGGAGAACAGGGATTTCCTGGACTTTCTGGAGAGAAAGGCAACAGAGGAAAATGGGTGAAGTATCCTTTACAGTAATGTTTAGATTTTATGGAAACATCTTTCCAAAGTGTAATGCTGTCCGTAATGTCTGTGAGTTGTGTTTAATAGCTGCATGGTCTCTAATATGATGTGAGTCCTGCTGTAAATCAGTGTAGCTCCGCTGACTTGAACTGATCTGTGTTCTCTTATCTGGCCTTCTTCTATGACAGATACTATTTATACTTGTACCTGAACTGTTTGTGCTCTTTTTATGAATTTAGGGCAGAAAAGGCCCCAGAGGAGAACCAGGTGAACGAGGAGAATCTGGTCTAAGAGGAGATCATGTAAGTGTATTCCTTTATTTTTGTTATGTTGCACTGATTAGAGCCTGGATTTTGTGATGGAGATGTCTGAAATTTATGTGATTTGAGGAGTTTTTCACACTTCTAGATAAGCAGTACTCTGCAAGAAGCACAGCATATTCCAGGAGTCCTAAACTCTTTAGATGTAGATGGACTGATGTGTTTTGATAAGTTGCTTGGAAGCAGGTGTTTAAGTCTCAGGTCTTCTGTTTGTTGCATTTTTGGGGTTTGTTTGTTTGTTTGTTTTTTACTGTGGACAACATAACTTCTTTTGGAGCTACTCGTCACAGAATCATAGAATGGTTTGAGTTGAAAGGGACCTTAATGATCATCTAGTTCCACACCTCCTGCCATGGGCAGGGACACTTCCCACTAGACCAGATGGTTTAGTGAAAAGCCCAGGTAGATTAGACCTGTCTTCCTTGTGGTTCCCATCTTACAGAGGAATTTGAGATCACTTGAAAACCCTGGGCACTAACTCTTGATTAGCAAATTATACTGATGCAAAGGCAAGTTACTTCTTCATGCTCACATTTTTTCCTTGCATGCTCCAGAGCCCAGTATGAACACACTCCCTGAGGACTGAAATTTCAGTGGAGACACCACGCTTCTCGAATCACAACTTTTGCTTTCCTCACATATAACTCAAAGAGTTTGTTACAAACATTCAGATATATTGTTGACTCCTGACTTCTGATGATTATATTAAGAGGACTAAAATCCAGGTGTCATGGTAATTTGCCTCTTTGAGAGATCAGGATTTCACCTGTGTCTAGCATTAAGCGGCTAAGTGGAACTCCACTGTAGTGTGACACCCATCTAAAACTCACTGACAAGGTATGATCTTAACTCAATTAACCATACCAAAGCAACCAGAACATTTTCAGGGTTTAATTTGTTCCCTGTTAGTAATTTTGCCTTTAATCTCTTTGGAAAAGAACATTGTGGACTTTGCAGAACTTCCTATATAGTATTCTTACAAGCATCTTCATTTAAAATAGCCTTTTTATTTCTAGTTGTCTGCAATGACAAATCTAATTAATATTATTTGCATATCCTACCTCTATAATCAAAGTAATAAAGGTGGGATCACTGATAATGCTGAGTTTTCCATTTAACTTTTCCAGGGAGATCCTGGGGCTAACAATACTGTTAGTGGTCCTAAGGGTGAAAAAGGAAGCCTAGCATCGCAGGTAAGCAAGTAGTTCTATAATTATGAAGAGAGGATTTGCATAATTGCTAAGTCTATTGGCTGTCCAGTGACCAGGCAGCTCTTTTGTTGTTGTTGTTGTTTGGTATTTTTTGTTTGTTTGTTTGCTTTGTATGTTGCCTTTAGTGTTTGTCTGCAGCATAGAAATCTTTGAGAAGTGTGTGATACAGTATAAAAAAAATAATTAAAAAGGTTTACAAAGACTGTGGAAATATTTTTCTAATATAGAGCTAAGGGAAGGTGTGGACTTACTATAAATATATTATTCTACCATAAATTTGCATCAGCCACCCGAGAGGCTTCTAGCAATGGGTTATAAGGATACTGTTAAAAATCATGCTGGTAAAAATGCATTGGGTGTCAACAGTCTATGTGCATTTTGCTATGGAACTGCTGTTTCTCAGGATGGTGGGTAAACACTATTTTGTCCTGTATCAAGAATATAAGAGCTGGGTTATGTGCTTATATATCAATGTCTGCGTTTTTAAGAAGTCTTTGAGCAATACTGCAAGAAAAGAAACATAACGGAAAAGCCCTGCCCATTTCTCTATTGGACTTTGGAAAAAATAAGCAAAGATGGTAAGTAATTGGACAGTAGTGTATAAATCATGGTGGATGAAAACTTAAGAAGGTGAGAACTAGCAACATGTGAGAAAAATCCACTATTTAAGAAGATTAATTCTATTAAGTACGGTTTTATGCACATGCTTAGACGTGTGTCCATATGTCTATGTAGAGTGTGATGGAAGCAGTAGAAAAACTCTGAGGGTTAATTTTTGGAGAATAATTGGGTTTTGATGACTCACTGGAAGCAAATCTCGTCAAGCTTTCTCATCTCAAGAAGTCCAACTGAAAAGCTGGAATCAACAAAAATTATTTTGTTCATTCAAGAAGCCTCAGCTGAGTATCAGCTGTTAGTAACTGATGGATTGGAAATCCAACGCAAGCATGATCTGTCCGGTTTATCATTTTGATTGCAAATTATTTGCAGAAATCAGGGGTCAACATTTAGCGTGACACATCTGATTGTGATGAAAGTACTTAGAAGAAGAAACAAAGAAGTAATGAATAAAGAAGAATGTGCAAGCACAAGAAAGAGTCAAGAGCATTTAAAGAGCTTGGTCATTATTTTGTTTTGCAGGGTGATCCAGGCCCACATGGACTCCAAGGAGAGCAGGGTGATGCTGGCCCTGATGTAAGAATAGTAATCAATATGGGGTGAAGTAACTGTTAAAAAAGATACAGTGGGATTCCTTTGAGAAAACCCCATTTTTCTCTTCTTCCTGTTATCCCACACTTCAAACTCCTGCAAGGAGAGGGAACAAAAATCTTCTAAAACTTTCCTAGTGAAACATACTTGGCTTAAAATTTAGTAGCTTGTGTTCATTGAAATGTTTTGTATTCTTTAAGGTCAGAAATTTGCTGTGCTGCGAATTTTAGGTCTGATTCATGTGTCATAAGTCACAAGCCTTAAACTCAATGCAACCTTTTCTATGAGCCTTAATTGCTTTATAATTTCACTGTAGGTAAATCTTACTCTTCTTCCTCCCCATGACTACAAGTTTTGCATGTCTGTTCAAGCATATATATAAACACACAGGCAGCTGAGCTGCTCTTTTTTGTTCACTGGAGACAGGAAATTATGAAGGTGCCTCTTCTTGTCTGTCAGAATGGTGCTTGATGCCAAAGTCTGGAATGATGATCACTCCTCAGTCAGGCTGCAGAAACGTCCTAAAGGCCTCTGGTGATGGGAGATTGAACAGCAGCACTCACTAGTGCTGAGCAGTGGGCAGCAGGAAGTGGTAAAAACCTCTTAGCTCAGAGGGAGAGAAGAGGGCTTTTGTTCCACTGATTTTAGCCAAGGGGCAGATGAGTGGGAAGATGTTTTCCAGAATTTTGTTGAAATGTCTTCCCTCTGCACTCACTAAGGGTCTAAAGCCTTCTTTTTTTTTTTTTTTTGTAAGGCTTACTAGCGTAATAATATCTGTCCCAAATCCACTATTTTCTCTCTTTTTTTTTTTTTTTTTTTTTTTTTTTTTTTTTTTTTTTTTTTTTTTTTTTTTTTTTTTTTTTTTTTTTTTTTTTTTTTTTTTTTTTTTTTTTTACCTTAAATCTTTCTTTGGAAATAATCTCTGCTTTCTATGAGCTGCCTTTGATTTGACTGTATATATAATGTACTTTATCATAAGCCATTGTTTCACACGTTGCTCAGTGTTCTGGATGTAATCTCTCATGCCACTCCTTCCTAGGGTGCAGCAGGTCGAAGAGGCCCTCCAGGTATAAAGGTGAGTGGCTGCTGCTGCTGCTGCCCATCTCTACACAGCTACATGTCCAGCCTCAGTGTTTGCTCCTCTTAAAGGAAAAGTTTCATTGTGATCTAAGGCACAAGTGCTTAAAAATCAAAAGTCTATTTCAAGACAAGGCAGCCTTTGGATCTCAGGTGGAAGTGCCAGAGGCCATCCTGACTTGAAGGATTTAGAACTGGAAAAGAGTTTTCATCAAAATAAGAGGACAGTTACTTTTATTATTAGGTCAAATGTGGGAATGTAAGTTGAGAAAAGACTCACTAAAGATGACAGGAATGTGTAGTCAGGCTGCAAAGTCTGACAGTTTATTCCTCCTTTGCTGCATGCGCACAGATATTTGCATGATGCACACATGCAGCACAGATAAAATTAAGGCAATGATGCCTTGCTAAAAATAGATGTAACAGTGTTAACTGGAGCTCTGAAAATTGGCTTAAAGCATATAAGGTTTTGGAAATAATTTAGATGGTAGCCCTGGTTTTTCCTAGATCTGTACCCCATAGAGTCTGGATCTCAAGAAACTTTCCTGGGAGGTACTTGGTAAAGACATCACTGCCGTTCTCTTAGGTGATGACTCAGGTAATGTTCTTGGAAAAGAAAACTTGTTTGTCTCTGGGTATAAATTACAAAATACAGTTATCAAAGCACATCTAAAAGCAGCTATATTCAAGAGTGGGTTAGTGCAAGTAAAAATTAAATGCTAAGAATTCTCAAGTATATGTTATATGATAATTCCAGGAAACATTACTTTAGCACAAGTGATTCACATTTGATTCAGTTTCTCTGCAGAGTTTCTGACGCAGATAAGGGAGATGGTATATGCCTTGGTGTAGCATTTCCCTTCTATCTAAGTGCATTTAAACCCAGGGAAACATTGCAATTTCATCTACAACACTGTCAGACCAGCAGGATGGAATAAGTCTCAAAATCCTGCCTTGTGTTGGAGTCTCTAGGGAATGGGCAGAACTGTAGCTTCTGAATAAATGTGCAAACCAGCATTTTGAGTAGAGTTTGTTCTATGCAACTCTGCACTCACAAGCATTGTTAGGGCAAAATTTGGACCAGCTTTACCCCATCTCTTCTTTCCAAGTCATATTCATAGAATACCAGTGCAGTCGTAGGATAGAAGAGGAGGCAGGATGAAGTGCAGACACCCAAGTAGCAAAGACACCCAGTACCTCTTTCAAAGTCCTTGCCAAAGCCCCTTTTCTTTTATCCAGGTTCACAATATGAAGTGTTTGGCCTGTACAAAACATGCTGTTAGAGGACACCCAGCAGAAGTTTGATAAGTTTGCTCAATTTCTCATGTTTTTAATTGTGGATGCACTATGTAAATTGATGTTCTTCCTGTGTTCTTAATTTGGCAAAAGGTTAATGATTTTTCGTGAAACTTCTGCATGGATTGAGAGGGTTGTTTGTTTGTTTGTTTGTTTTTGTTTTGTTTTGTTGTTTTTTTGAAACGGCAACAAGCATTTAAAGTGAAAACCAAGTGTGAAATGTTAATAAATAATAGTGAGAATAACCACAGCGATGCAATATAGAGCATAAATTTCAGCAAAGGAAAAAGACTACTGGGACGACATAGTGACTTTTATGGCAGTAATATTTCTTCAGCAGCACAGTGTTTGATTTGCCTCTGATTTCTGGGCTTCCTATCTCTCTCCTGTTAAGAGTAGCAGTTTTGCTGTACCTTTATTTCTCTCTTCCTGTGTGCTGCAGCCAGGTAACACAGGTTTTTTTACATTTAAAGGGATTCAAATTAATATTTCATTGGGAAATGAGGATCAGAAGTGATAGTCTTGATAGGGTAGTTCCCTATACTACAGTCCAGTCACATTCCAGCTTTTTGCAATACACAGGCATGCCTTGTGCAAAAACCCTTGTCCCCACCTGGTTTCTCAAAGTCATGATTTAGATTTCACCTTGAGAATCCAGAATTTTCACTGTCTGGGGTGTTGCAGGTAGGAATAGACTGGAATATTCTGATACTATCTGCCAGTAGGGAAAAAGCACCAAGCTTTGGCTGCAGGGATCAGAATAACTTGAAAGAATATGAGCATTTTATAGATCCTGTTTCCTATTTCTATCTCAGAAATTATCTATAGGGTTTACAAAGACATTTTAGATTAAAATATTGAAGAATATTCATCAAACCTACCTCTTAATTATTTCAATTCTTGCCTAAACACTCAGAAATCTGTTTCTTAGGTAATCATGAAATTTGTGCACTTATTTCCCCCCATATTTGATTGCTTCTTAACTCTAAAAGTATTTGCTTGCATTTTTCTGTCAGGTACCAGCAATAAAAAATAATCCAAGTAACAGGATTACTGAGGGGAACAGGGCAAAACTGAAATCTGTGAAAATGGAATTGTGCTTTATTGTGGTTGTCCTAAAGCACAAGAATGCTGATGAGGTTAGAAAATAAAATGTTCAACTTATTTAGTAAAATCACAGAGTGCAGAATTTATTGAACCTTTTGAGACAGCTCTCCTCATCTCCATGGCAGCCCCCTCACCCAGTGACGAGGCCACCCTTTTGTAATGTGGTGCGGAACAAGAGAAATGACTGAACCTCACAGCAACAAGGAACTTCCAAACTATTTTCATTTAAATACCTGATGATCAGCTTTGACTTCTGAAAGCATAATAAACCCCCACATTTGTGTGGGTAGGTAGGCATTGAAAGCTAGGCACCAACCCATGTTCAGAACACAGCTTATGTAAATATCCTTCATTGAGGAGGTGTAAAAGGTGAATGGCAGAGAGGATTGCACACTTCTGTCTTCCACATCTCCTGGAGAAACTAGAAGGAACAGTAACCCTGCAATATGACAGTGGCATCCATCCTTATGTTAGAAAACCACAAAGAAGCACAGCTAGCCTTTCTGAGCAGTCAGAAGTAGTCAGGGGGCAGAAGGAACAGAAGGTGTGGTGAAGTGTCAGAGAGGTGTTTGTCGCAGACAAGAAGAACATGCAGTCTGTGTGCTGAAAACAAAGCAAAATATTGAAGATGGAAGGGAGAATAAACTAAAGGAAGGCACAGAAGAGAGGAAAAGTCGGGGGGAAGAAAAAAGAAAAAAGAAAAACCACTTTTCTGGGTTTGATTGAATTAAATTTAAGTAGCTGAAAACTTTCTGATTGTTTTGGATTCCAGTAGAGTATACCTAAGAAATTTGTCCATCTTCATTAGAGGCAAAACAATTTTTGTGGAAATCTTTTTCTATTTGATTTTTTACATCTGGCAATAACATATACGTAGTGATGTTCCATTTTACATTATTGTTACTCTGGCTATAAATTAATTTTGGTCTTTGTTTTTTGCTTTCGGCTTTTTCTTTTCTTTTTCTTTTTTTTCCCTGTTATTATCTTTCATTTCATTCATGTGGTGGAGAATGGAAGTTCAGACTTTTAAATGAAATTTTCCTCAGGAGATTCTTTCCAGAACCATCTGTCTTCCAAGAATCTTCAGAGATGTATTCATGATTTCTTCAGTGAAAGGGGATCTGCAAGGCCTGGAATATCTTGGTGCTAGTTGTCACCATTTTACTCAATCCGGCAGACAGTGAATATTTCTTATGCATGTCAGCTAAACTGACTCATCCTCAGATGGCAGCTTTATACGGACATGGGAGCCGAAAAAGTTTTTTATCCATGATGCAGTATTTGACTTACGTCACTGAATAACCAGAGTGAAAGATGTGGAGTATAAAAACCTCTAATTCTAGTAAGATTATGAAGGCACGATTCCCCCTCAGAGTCATTCTTCATGGGTAAGGGGGAAGAGGACCTGCCTTTGTGGTCCTGGCTTTATGGCTTCTCATGGTTTTTGTAGGGGTCAAGGACAAGGGTAATGCGGGAATATTGCTGAGACCTGGTGTAAAATGTATTCAGGAAAATGCAAAGCAAATAGAACTGACCTCTTGTGCTGCAGCTTTTATAATCATCACACACCCTAAACAACAAGAAAAAAGCTACTCAAGTCTTTTACTTTCTGACTGAGTTTCTTCAACAGGACTCTGAAGCTGCTTGAAAGCCTCTTGGGAGCACTGAAAAAAACATTTTATCATCTATGTACAGATAATGAAATTATTATCTTTTGATGTACAGATGACAGGTGCTAATTTGTTTGGGTTTGTTGTTGATTTCTTGTGTTTTGTTCCGGCAGGGTGAGCAAGGAGATCTGGGGGAAGCAGGTTACCCAGGAGAGACTGGTCTTCCAGGCCCACAGGTAACTAATAAAGCTTCAGTTTTCTTTTTAGCTGTGGAGAAGATGAATTGTCAGTCTTGATCTTTAGTTTTTCTTTTGGAAAGCTTGGATAACTTCAACTTATGAATATTATTAGACTAAAGTTCTTCCTTGGCAAATCTCTTCTGTAACCCTGAGGAATTAAATGTGACAAGTTATGTGGGTGCAACTTCTAGTGAAATTAAAAGAGGAAAATGAATAGCAAAAATAAGAAATTTAGCCAACACATCTACAACTTAAGGGATATTACCAAGCAGATAGCTTCAAAATTAATTAATTAGAAATCTATTGCATTGACAAAACCAATGTGAAAGGCTTTGCATTTTAAAACTTTGCTAGGTGATGTCATTTTGAAGAGAATTATCATAGTAGACTGCTTATAGTAGCTTCCAGTTTTAAGATGCTCTTAGATCCTCTAAAGATGCTTTTAACTTTGTTTTAGGATCTGGAAAAAGTGTGCCTAGTTCATAGGGGGCTTCTTATGGCTTCCTGGGTATCTTAGACACCTCAGTGAATCTCAGGCTGTTGGGCAGTGACCATCTCAGCTGCTTCACACAGACAGATCCTTACAACCAAATGTCCAGAAGTTTCACCTGTGCATTAAGGCTCACAAAACAGACACTTGTATTCTTATCATTATAGGAATCTGATCTTTATTGAAAGACTGTCAACATTGAACTGACTTTTTTCTTTTTTTTTTTCAATGGCTTTTTTACATCAGGGCCCAAGAGGACCACAAGGGATCAGAGGACCTCCAGGACCACAAGGCATGCCAGGCCCTCTGGTGAGCTTTAAATAATATATTCCTACTGTATGCTTTAGGGCTTTTCATTCTCAGTGTTATTCAGATATTATTCTTATAAAGAGGTTTTAAAAAGCTTATAGAAAGTAGAAACCGAGGGTTTTTCACTGTAGTACTTAAATGATTTGCAGCCTCATATGATAAAATAACAGCCTTGAAAATAAGTTTAGGTGGGTGAATAGGAATTAAATGTCAGTGTTACATATGACTGCACTGAGAAGCCTTAACTCTAGGTTCTACTCTCAGTTATCTAGTATCAGGACTAAGAGCGTGGCTTGCAGCCACATTTAAATACAGATGTACAGTGGAGTAGCTGAGATCAAAGTTATATAATGATCAGTAGTTTCATTATGGCCTGTGAGATTTAATGCTGAAGTCTGATCAGGCTGTAACATTTGAGCGCTGTCTCCTTATCTCCTCCCCTGTGTGATGCTGTTGTTTTTGGGGGTTCTTGTTCTGGACTTACATCAGTGTAAATCAGGACTGGAATGTCCAATGCTGTCAGCCTTGGTCATCTGCTTCAGTCATGTAATAATGTTCATGATTACACACCCAATTATGTGCGTGCATTCATGGTTTTGTGCACGTGTGCATGTTTTGACTAGGTATCTATGTAAGCAGAAAATAACATTCAAGTCATACATAAAAGCATTTTGAAGTTTATACAGCAGTAGTACAGAAGATAGGAAAGAAATGGAATGATAGCTTGACCAATAACTCTTCCTGTGGTCCTCAAAAACCTGTAAACGCACTAATATTTATACTGACTCTGTAGTCATTTCAAGTGTGAATGAATCCTTGGGTGCAGTGAGGCCTTGATTTCTTCATTGTACACCTTTTAACTGATACTTTTTATTACAGGGTGGTCTGGGGCCCCCAGGTTCACCTGGCTCTGTTGGAAAGTTAGGTACAAGAGGAGCAAAGGTAAAGATTTTTAAGGTATCTAATTGCAGCAATCTAACAATATCATTCATTCAAGAATCTGACTGAAGAAGCCTATTCTAAAACTTTGTTAGTCCTATGAATCGTGTAGAATGTTAAGATCTGTAGACATTTTTAGACTACATGAGGAGACAAGTGATATATTCAAGGTAATCTTACAGATGTCAGAGCTATAAGAAGCTTTTAGTTTTCCCATGGCCACTACTGTAAGTGCTGGGGCCTGGTTTTTCACAAAATGCAGCAGCGCTGACCTGACCATGAGGCTCATTTTAGGATTCCTGGAATCTATCCAATCCATTGAAAATACATTCCATTGAATTACAGAATATCTCAAGTTGGGAGGAACCCATGAGGATCATCAGGTCCAATTCCCTGCTTCTCGCAGGACAACTAAAACACATGACAAAGTGCATCATCCAGACACCTCTTGAACTCTGACAGGCTTGGTTCCGTGACCACTTCCCTGAGAAGCTTGTTCCAGTGACCGACCATTCTCTTTGAGAAGAACTCATTCCTAATGTCCAATCTGACTTTACCAGCTCAAAGAAGCATAGTTGCTCATTTTCACCTTGTTTTGCCAAAAATTCCTAAGAAGTCCAAGGAGCCTTGACTGTTATGATGTCTGTCATAGAGGAATGAATATGTTGAGAACAATTAAATCAATATGAAGTTTAACAGAAAGACTTATAGGTGGTCTACACTGGAGTTCACTGATAATAAATATCATCCCTTACTTTCATTTATGTTAATATGGGACACTAACTTTATTTGATAAAAGTAACTCATTTTAGTTGTTGTTGAATCTTTGAATGTAAAAGTCATAAGTCATACCAGTGAGCTAAGCCCTTCAGTCTCTTCGAAGGTTTGTTACATTCAGTGACAGAGACGTGTCGAAGGTCAAAGTATTACTGCAAAAATAGTCACTGTGTGAAAACATACAGTGAAACAGTGACAAAAATTTGGAAAATATTCAGGAATTTTCATCATACATTCTATTTTCTATGTTTGATTTTTTTGCTGTTTAATGTTGGGGTCCTTGTTAGAAGAAAGTTCGATTGGAAAGTGGAAACAAAAAAGGAACTGAAGGAAAGAAACCCTGTGAGAGGACTAAGAGCGCAGTGCAGACAGCCTGCCTGAGAAATATCATCTGCTATCCACAGGTGGTTCAGGCTGGTAGAATTCCAGGATATATCCTACTACTGCTATAATGTCAACTTTTCCAAACCCCACTTTTTTCACTGATAGTACTGTGTAACAATGGGAGTTTTACTGAATAAAGGCCTTTAGAGTTTAGCTGCACGAATGCTCTGCATATTCTGATTTGCCAAGTCATTTCCAGTTCCACCATAAGGAACATTCTATGAAACATGGCCTGTAATGGAATGCTTTTGCCCAGCATCAACTAGTCTATAAAATGTATAGGCACACTTCAGTCTAACAGACAACTTTGCATTTCAGAAATAATTCTCCTGAATGAGTCCAGCTAACAGCTTCTGTGTTTCAATTATAACAGGGTGAACCTGGTGACCCTGGAGAGAAGGGCCCAGCTGGACCACCTGGACAGAGAGGCATGCCTGTGAGTCCTTCTCCCCTAATTCAGAGCCTGTATAGTTTAATACCTATCCAACTGAAATACTGCAGCTCATTCCCTTCTATTTTCTCTGATACAATTAAAATTATTTCACATTTGGTTCTCAATTTCCTTATGGACACCAGATTCCTTGGGGGCTAGAGAGAATATCTTTCACATCAAATTCTCCAGAGAAAAGAATATGCTAAAGGTAGGGCATACAGTGGAAAGAAACTGTGGCCTTAATCCTTGTTTTCTCTCTATGGCTTTTACCACCATCTGCTGCTGGTTTTAGACTGTATTGTGAGAGCTTGCCCTAATTTATTAATCTTAACAGCCTGAGCACCTCATTGTAATAGGACATCTTTTTTTCAAAGTCAAACTGGATATAAATCTAATCCTCTACTAAAATCTAACTTGTGGTATGTCCAACCTATGCAGGGCATGGATGGCAGAGATGCCTATGGTCCTGAAGGAAGCAAAGGAGCAAAGGTGAGTGCTTCAAGTCAGAATGTCTCTGTCTTTTCTGCAGGATCAAATGGAACATCCATATTATAATAAAAAGAAATGTAAGACGTGGCCACACTGTGTTTCTGAGGTTTAATAAGAGGTCAGGATTCCCACAGTCCTTGTGAGAAATTCTTCGATTGGATATTCTTTTGTGGACCGCTCCCTCTTTCCCTTGATGTGTGTATATGGATCCGAAGGACTGTACTTCTTGGAGCAGACAGGGCTTTTTGCCCACTTCAGTCTGCTTGACTAGCCACTCTTCTTGGCAAATATTGGTGATCCAGCCACTTGGGGCTCCTCTCAGTTTTCTTCTTTCAGTGGAGGGATTCTTTGACTACCAAGGAATACTGAGATGATATCCTTACTGTTTTATTGTGAAATATTCTTCCTTGTGCTCCTACCGTCATCAGTAAGATCTGGGGATCAGTCTCTGGATTGCTAAGAAACTCTTATATTTCCCTTCACAGTGCTGAATAAAAAAAAAACAATTAATTTATCATTTCTTTAAAAACATAAAAGAATCCAGCTAAAATAAAAAGTATACAGAAATGAAGAGGTCAAAATCATGGCACCAGTGCCACCCATGGGTCAGTCTGTGAGCAAAAGGGTCAGGATGCTGTAGAAAGCTGCAGTCCTCCTTTCATGAAATTTGTCTGGTGTTGCAATACTACTCCTTTCTTGTTGCTTGTGAAACAGAAATGGTCCAGTGGATCTCACTGATAGACCTGTCTCTCACTGTTCCTTTCTGTGGGAGAAGCAGAGTGTTATAGGAACCTGCAGAAGACATATGAAAGGCTTCCGAGAGCCTCTCCAACTGATGAGCTCCTTTTGCTAAAGTGGCTCTTGATGCTTCTTATTTTTCAATTTCTTTTCTCACTTCCTTAACTCCAACAATTTCTTTTCATGGGGGAGTTTCCTAGGTTATGCACACATTGTAGCAAGAGTAGTTCTTTTAATCTCTTGGAATCTCCCACTTGTTCACTTCAGGGAACATCCTCCATGTTAGAAGAAATGAAGAAAAAAGTTTCTGCTAAATCTTCTTGTCATTATTCACTGTTTAAAAGGACTAACTTAAAGCCTTTCTTATACACTGATGTGTCTACCTGGGTTTTGGCAGGGCCTGGATTAAAGCAATTAATAAAAATAACCAAAAACCAATGTACCCCAGAATAGTGATTCAGAAAGAGTGGTTTTTCCCTGATAGCTAAGAAAGTAACCTTTAGTGTAAATTTTACTTAAGGTTGCTATTAATTATACAGGTTCACAGTCACATTGCACTCTCTTACATGTAATGTGGGGTGTATGTGCATGGAATTTTCTGAAAATTGTTGGATAAAGTTATATGACGCTTTACAACCATGTCCACTTCCATGGGAGGGAACTCTTAGAAAAATGGCATACATAAGTAGTGTGAATTCTGATGTTAAGGAAAGAGGTACTTCACTTCTGACTGATTTATGTAAGAATTTCCTTATTTCTCATATACGAGCGAAGAACACACCAGAAACTGAAGTAACTGAAAACAATTAATGAATTGACTTCTGATATGCCAACAAAGTATTGTGGTATCATTATTTAGTAAGGAGGGTACAACATTTTGAAACTTCATTCAAAGGCTGAGTTCTGAATATTACAATTTACTCATAGTCACTGTACATGAATTCCACTGTATATTACTAGGACGTGTAAATAAGTGTTGATAAAACACATATTTGAGAAAGTGAGAACTCTTGAAAATCCAGAAACTGTTGGAAATATTTTAAACACTCTTCCTTTAGATGAGCAAGGTGTTCATATAAAATGGTGTAATTTGAGACCAGAGTTGTAGCCACAGCTACTTGAATGGGCTGGAATGCTAAGAATAATTTTTAAATTGTTTTTGGTTTAAAGATACCAAACACTAAGCAGATCAAAAAGTTCTAGATTCTTATGAAGTCTTTGTCCTTTCTTTTTGTAGGGAGAATCTGGGTTCATAGGATATCCTGGTCCGGAGGTATGATTAAATGGCATGATTCCTTTCTTTATGTCTTGTTTTACATTTTTCTATGTGGTAGTTTTTGTCGATCTTTCTGTCTGTCTTCTCCTTTTCTATAAAGTTCTGAATGTCATTAATTTTCAGGGAGAAGATGGAGACCCGGGCATTCCAGGAGCTGAAGGACCCAAAGGAATTAGGGGTAGAAGAGTAAGAATGACAATTCTGCTAACTCTGTGAAGAGTTCTATAAATAAAGCCCTTATGTCCCAGGTGTTTTCTCACAAAAAAATTTTTAAATTGGTTCCCACCCTGATCTTTTAGTGCCGTATCTTGTGCAAGAGGTCTTGAGAAAATGCAGATCTGAGTCTTCAGAGATGCTAGTTCCTAATAATTCTCAATAGTAATAGTCTATATAAATGCAGGATCCAACTCACAATATGGTTGTAGAGGGGTTTTTTTCCCCTTATGAAATTTGGCACCTATGTGTGCAATTACAAAGAGTAAAACTTGTACTCCTATTTTTAGGGTAATGCTGGCATACCAGGTTCCCTGGGAGATCCAGGAGATCAAGGGCCATCAGGACCTATGGTAATGTATTTTATTTTTTAAAAAAAAATCGCTCTTAGATTGATCTTAGACTTACTATTAGAATAATGGAGTGTTTAATTACGTTTCATATGCTTAATTGCCTGGCACTTGTATAGAGTTATGTCTTGCCTGTGGATGTGCGTGCACAGGAGCACTTGCTGTTGGAAATGGACTGCAACAATACAGTGCAGGACAGAATTTCTTCTACAGTATTTGATTTTGTCTTTAGGCTGGGTAAATATCTAATTAAATAAGCAGAGAGTGCTAAAATATAGAACTAGCTTGATCTGCTGAAAGCCAATGTATTTTTTTCATTTCAAAAGAAAATCCGTTTAAAATCAGACTTGCAGTTAAAGGCACGCACTTAAAGCTTATATTGATCGTCACATGTTAATTTTACAATTAATATACAAATAAATGTCTTGATGTACTTTTCCAAGGTCTTATGTTCTGCATTTTACACAACAAAATGTTTTATTTTTATCTAAGCAGAGGAAAGGATTGTGGATTTCAGTAGGATTTAGGACTAGTCTTATAGGTAGCTAGGAAAATCCCTGTAGGTGTCTATCCTTATCCTGCAACAATGCTGAAACTCAGCTCCACAGTGACCAGAAAAAATCCCTACTGTTAATGATTTTCTTGTTAAAATTTCTTAAGCTTACTCTTAGTTTAAATGTGGAACATGATTGATAGCAGTATCTTTACCTGTATAACATGGCCCATGGGATGTGTGCAGCTTAGAAAACTTTTTGCTTTCCTTCTCATTACACTCTGCTGGTCAATGAATGTTCCTGTCCCACTTTATTTTATGATGCTGGGCACAAGAGTGGCTAAGAATGCATTGCCCTCCCAGCTACTTGGCCACTTACATGTTACAGGTAGGGATTTGAAGCTCAAGATCTCCTCCTCAAATGTAGAAATGAGAGTAGAGTTTGGGATATATGGGGTTGGTGGGATTATTACAGTAGGTGGGCGTCGGGAAATGAGAAAGTGGGAAGTCTGTGAGAAGTGGAAGTGATAGGGATGCAGGAAGAGGCACAGGCAGTAGGCGGGGGCTAACACTTTTCCACAGCTCCCAAGGAGAAGGATGCAGAGTAGGTTGAGCTATCATGATGTGGGTGTGTTCTGCAGAGTCTTTTGAGGTAGAACTGTGGGGATTTTACCCTGCAAGAGTAGAGGGCAAGCTTGTCACACATCAGATGTTGGAAAGTATGTAACTGAACAAAGCACAGAAACTGGTGTTTATAAAGGATATCCAATTCTAATTTATACTGGTCCTCAGGGAGAACAAGTACTGAACATTTTAAAACCATTAATGAAAATGGACTGAGAAATAAGTCTGAGAAGTCTGCAACTCTGGAACAGGTCCACAGAAATCTATGCTGGGAACAGATGTCTCCTCATATTTCAAATTCATAAGTGGTTGTTGGGAAACACTGTATGCCTTCATTTTCTTTGGGCTACAGAGTAATAGATGGAAAAACATTATCAGGGTCTGACTTTCTGGACCTGTATTTATTTTGTTTCAGGGTGCCAAGGGACCAGTGGGCACCATTTTAATGGAAGTAAGTAATCACCTTACAGCTAATTCCACACTGCATGAAATTATCTGTTTTAGTCTTCCATTTATAAGCACTGACAGCAGTGCACAGAATTAGCTGTTATAAAACAGTAACTTTTCACGTGCTTGACAGAGTGCAGTGGGTTCATCTGTTCTGCAAATGATCAAGGAAAGAGAAACAATTATGCCTATGGATTAACACCACGCCCAAACTTTTAAAAATTGTTGGACCATTAATATTCATTTACCCATTTCTTTACTCACATCAGTTTACACACTAGCTTAGGTTTAGGGTTAACTTTTTCCCTCTTGTATTTCTTCACAAACAGTTATTTTCACTGGGAATAGAAGTGCAGGATTTCTTCAGAGTCCTAATCCCAAGTAAAATGAGCACTTCTGAGCAAAGGCTCCATCTAACCCTTGCATGGATGGCTGCCTACAGGCAATACTACTGCAAATGTGTTCTTTGTCCACAGGGGGTCTTCTCCCCCTTCACGGACGTCTCTTCCTATGTGAGTTCCTATTGAATTGTCCATTCTTTTATGGAAGTGCCATTGACCAGTGACATCCTCTAGAATGGTTATTAGCACAAAATAAGGAATGGATAAATGGTTTCTTACTGAACATCATAAACACCAACAGAGCAGGTCTAGAAAAATGTGCCTAGTTTCTGCAGCAAGAGAGAGAGTCCTTGTACTGTCTGAAGTAAGGAGGAACTGGATTGTGTGAATCTGGATTTACTGTAATGAAGTTAGCTCAGGAACTGGGATATGACCTTCAGCTCAATCACCAGTAAGATTCCCAGTCTGGGATGTTCTGGGATTTTCCATTAATTCCTTTTTTATTTTGAACCTGCAGCCTTGTGAACTTGTGAATTTTACAAGAAAAAACTGCCGTAAGTAGGAAGCATCTTATTTTACCTCTGATGCCTAGTGACTCTTCTTAAATGGAATAACCTCCACTGGAAACCCTGTAAATTGGTAGTTTGTGTCTGGGTTCAGTTTGACTGGTAGTTGTGAGTTGTGAGGGGTTTGCAGCAGCTGTATGAGGCAGACTTGCTCTTTTTGCTCCTTTTCTAATCTGTTAATTACAGAACCCATAACAAATATCTCTAATTCATTAAAGATTAAATTAATTCTTTGACATTGTGCCAATGCCCTTTGGGGAGTTCTCTGAGAGAAGACAATACTGGTATATGCACTGTCCTCCAAATTAGGTGTGTTCATTCTCTCTCAGGCATGTGTGCACAGCAGAACCCAGAACAATTTTTTTACTTCTCATCCAGTAAAAGTGCACTATTTTGAGTATCTGATTATGGAAGAGGAGTCTTGTCTTGCACTGACAGGTTCAATTAGATTTCTGAGCTTTGAATCAGGCTTTTTAGTGAAAGTAAGTAAATATATTAATGAATATGAGCCCAAAATAATTTATTTGCTCTCCCTCTCTTCCTTCCAGCTTGTTCATCAGGTAAGTCCATCTGGCTTCTGCGTATCCGTTCTTTTATAGACTCGAAAACAAAACAGCAGTGTTTGAGCTGTGGAAAGGTTCTCACACAGATTTTCTGCTTCAACATACAGACACATGTCCAGCTTACCCAACTGAGGTGGTGTTTGCCTTCGATATGTCTGACGGTGTTACACCAGCTGCATTTGAAAGGATGAGGAACATTGTCACGTTGTTGCTGAAGGCCATGAAGATCAGCGAAAGCAATTGCCCAACAGGCGCTCGCGTCTCCGTTGTTTCTTTCAACACCAATATGCGCTATCTCATCCGATTCTCGGAATTCCAGAAAAGCAACTTGCTGCAACAAGCAGTCCAGAGGATACCTCTGGAGAGATCCACTGGAAAGCGAAATATTGGGGCGGCCATGAGATTTGTCGCGAGAAATGTCTTCAAACGTGTTCGTCAGGGCATCCTCACAAGAAAAGTAGCCCTGTTTTTTGCCAATGGTCCATCTCAGGATGATGTTGCCATCAACACAGCTGTGCTTGAGTTGAGTGCCTTGGATATCACTCCAGTGGTTATTGCCTTCAGTGAAGTGCCAAATGTCAGGCGTGCTTTCTCAGTAAGTCGGTAGATGATAGAAAATTGAGTCAGTCACCCATTTACTCAGTGTCTGCTATTGTTTGAGTAAATCTTGCTCTCAGTCCAGTAAGTTCTATAGGAACTGTCTAATCCTTTATTAGAAAGGGGTACAGTAAAGGTTATTACTCTAACGTAGAAACAGTGATTGACTTGACCATAATGATCATCATCTGACCTCTTTCTGCACGTGAATTATTAATGACTTGTGCTTTTAGGCCAAATCACAGAATTTCCAGAACACTGTTAATTTCACTTAGTTACCTTTGTCATTACTCTTCTGAAGATGTGACAGGTACTGACCATTTAACTAAGAAACTGTGGCCCTAGTTTCTAGAAAAAGTAGTAGAAGTCTTCAAGTACACCAGGTTTTTTTCAAAAGAAAATTAAATTAAGCAAAACCCCTTTTTATGTCTTTATTGCCTTTAGCACAGGAGAAAATTATGAAATTTTACTTTAGAATATGACTTCATATAAAAGATACTAAACAAAAATAACCCGTCCATTTTTCAAGGTACAAAAGGAAAAAAATTCTAAGTTTATTCAAGGTTTCGTAACATAGATTCTATGGTCTTTGTCTTTCCAAATAGTTTTATCAACTGTTCTCAGTTTTAAATTTTTCAAAATAAAATTCTTTCAAGCTCCCCTTTCTTCAAAATTGTCCCTCTAAAAGGAAACATGTTCACTTACGCATGACAAAAAGTGCAAAACTTGGAGTCTGTTCTGATCTAGTAGCCATTTAATCTTCTTGTTATATTTATTCTCAGCCTCATATCTCTTAGGCAATTCATATATTTTTCTGGCTGAATGTTAATTTAGGAGAATGAAAAACTTTTGCTGACATGTGAGAAGGAAGCTTACAGTTTATTCACTGGGTTGCTCCACAGGATAAACAGGAGCAAGCACCAGTATTTTGTTTACTTAATATAAGGGGGTTACAAATCTGAATGCGTGTGATGATATCTGGTTTTTACAAAAGTGCCAGTTATCCATAAATCAGTCTTCAGAGTAGAGAAGTTTAAAAAAGTTGCTTAGCCAGGGGAGAGGCAAAAAATTCATGGCAGCAGCTCTCCTTTATGTTTACAATGATGGGAAGGCAACCAGCCTCCCCACCACCTCCAAGTAAATACAACCTCCCTTTTTCTTTCAGATGGGCTTCTGCCCTTGCAGTTGAGAGGTGGTTTAATCTTTATGATCGTACCAGACTGTAGCCACGGATACTTACTGCCTTTGGTTACTTGGTTTTAGGAGTTTCGGTTTAGAGGCCATTCAAACATTGCCAGTTCTAATTCCTTTGAAGAGTTTATCTGTAATATTCTTGACAGACATTAATTAGAATTTAATTGTGTAATTTAAACTGAAGTTTAATGCAAAGCAGTAATTATTTCTTTACTTACCATTATAGCTTATCCATATATATTGTTCATTTCCTGCAATGCTATATATTTTACAGACTTTTTTATTTACCTTTGTCCTCAAGGAAATGCTCTTTCCCTTCAATCACATTTGGATGGGGTTGGGTGATCAGTGAAATTGTAGGTTGTTGTTGGAGCTTCTTCAGACCTCCTAAAGCATTTCTATGGTCAAATCTTCTACTGAGGAAGATTGTTTTTCTTCAGCTGATCACAGGCAACTTATACGTTGTTCTAATGCTAAAATCTTCTCTCCCAAGAAAACACCTTCACTCTTTGTCCCAGACATAGGAAATCCTACCCTTTTCTCTGTTGAAAAATAGCACCCTATGAAGAAAAGAAAAAAATCTTAATATATTTTACCTGTCTTTTAAATGTTACTTTTGTGTCTGCTTTAAAACATAGATTGATGACACTAGAAGATTTCAGTTATTTGTTTGGGAAAGACAACAGGATGAAAGTTTGGAGGACATCACATATTGTACACTTTGTTTTGGTAAGACATTTAACAAATTCCATCGGTTGTATTGGTCTATTTAGCCTTTCAGTAACAAATTCTATCGTATTTATTTTGCAGTGTGGTGTTGGGGAATTTTTATGGTACACCTTAAACAGGTTTTGTGCTTAAATATAAAAGAAAAAATATTATTAAACAATGCACTGGGCAGAATCCTACTGCCATAAATGGTTCTACAAGGAGTTTGCAAACATGTGTTAAGAGCTGATTCCTAGTATGTACTTGCACCGGCACCAATCCCGTGAGTGGTTGCATGGAGCAACTCAGCCCAGCTCAGCTGCCCATAGGTGGCCCTGAGTGCTCCCGTTCCAGGGTGGCTACAAGACAGTGCTGCAGCTGTTTCTTGACATCACCAAGATAAACTTCACTCCCTTATAGGGATTTTTTTCTGTCTTTGACATTCCTGCTTCCAGCCAGCGTAAGCCCTTCTGCAAATGGGCTTTCTTACCCCCTGTGACAGAACATTTCTTGGTTACAGACTGTCACTGCTGAGGAGTTATAATTTAATTTCCTCTTCAGTGGATGGTAAGAATTAGACTCTCAAAACCACAAAAACTGTTTAATTGGTTTCTATGTCAGCCATGTGAAATGAATTACTCTGTTTAGCATTTCCTTTTTTAACAGAAATGAACTTAAAATGGCATTATGATTCTGGGAAACCAGTCTTATCTGCTGAGGATTCTACACTGTGAGGGGAGGAGATGCTACTAAATGATAATATTTCAGAATGTTGAATAGCGATCTGAGATGAAAAATACAGTTTATTTCTGTGTCCTTTACAATGTTTGGATTTCAACAGAAGAAAATTTCTCGAGGGAACTCTTATCTGTGAAGTTTTACCTTATGAATGTTTTTTTGCTCTCATGCTTGAATAATTTCCCATGGTATCTCAAAACCTCCTTCAGCAAGACTTGTCTGCTGTTCCTGACTAGAACAAAAAGATTTCAAGTTCCCAGATTATTTTTTTTAATCAAAATTTAAGAAAAATAAATAATATAGGACTGTGTGATTTTTTTTTTTTCTAAACTATTGCTTTTGTTGTGTTGCTAAATAATTTGCTCTTGGCTCTTCCTCTCTAGATAAATGCAAACCAAGAGCCAACTGCGAGGTGCCCTTTTCTCCCCCAGTTCTCATGGACATGGATATCACTTACATCATGGACAGCTCTCGCAGTGTCAGCAGTGAAGAGTTTCAGAGAGCCAAAGACTTTGTGAGCAACATGCTGGATCAGTTTGTTGTTTCCTCCCAGCCAAATGAATCCTACGGAGGCATCAGAGTGGCACTGGTGCAGCAAGCTCCTAGGGGCTTCCTGCCTGACAGAAACCAGACACCTGTGGCCTTGGAGTTTGATCTAGTTACATACAGCAATAAAGATTCGATGAAGAAACACATCCAAGAGTCTGTTCACCAACTGGAAGGGCCATCAGCCATTGCCTCTGCTCTACAGTGGACAGTTGAAAACGTATTCTTTAAAGCCCCCAGACAAAGGAAACACAGGGTCATATTTACAATAGTTGGAAGCAAAACAAGCACGTGGGACAGAGAGAGGCTGAAAGAGATTTCACTCGGAGCCAAGTGCCAAGGATTCACCTTGTTCACTCTTGCACTGGGCAGTGATGTGAGTGACAATGAGCTAATGGAGCTGCCAAGCTCCCCCACAGAGCAGCACTTGCTGACACTGGGCAGGGTTTCCACAGCGGAGATGGTGTACGCTCAGAGGTTTAGCCGGGCATTTCTAAATCTTCTGCAAAGTAAGTATCACACAATGGCATTTGCTTAAGGTATGGAAAGAAGGAGAAATGTTGTATAGAAAAGGATAGTCAGTATATATGTGCCACCATTCCTAGTCATAACTGCCAGTCTTTCACCTTTAGTTTGACTCAGATGCTGGACATTAATGGAAGTGCCAGTAATGAGAGAACAGAATTATATTCTAGTCTTAAGCGTTTTTTTTCACTAAAGTTTTTATTCGATGGGTGGCTTTGTGGACTCCACTTTCATTAAAGGTAGACCATTCTCAGCTAAGAGAACACAGTTCTGATTCCTGATTAGGCCCACATTTCTCCTCAGACCAATGGCAGGTCCAGATTTATTGAGCTGTTTATGTTTATTTAGGATTTGGGACAGGTAAATATTTAGCACATTTTCTCTTTATTACAGTTATTCCTCCTCTGTAGAGCAGAGAAAGGACTTCATCACTTTTCAAGACACATTCATGCAGATTAGCAGGATATCAAGAAGGAAATTGTCACTGATTTAAAATCCTCAGCAGAAGCATGTACTTAGAGATTTCCAAGTTTCTTTGGGAGCATAAATAGGTTATTACAGAGCAAGACAAAAGTATGAAAGGCTGGTTCAGGAGTCATTCTCATCTAGCTGACCTCTATCATAATTTTCATTTTCCTGGACCTAGTCCAGTCACTCTGGATACGATGTGTTAACTTACTGAAAGATGCAAACTTCAGTTCACAACAAAAATCCCACATAGTGCTTTTTATTAAACATACTGGGGTTTGGAGGACTTTAAAGTTCAACCATGTTATCTGGGCTTTCCCCACAGAAGAAGTGAACAGTTATCCTCCACCTGAACTTCAAGAAGAGTGCGAAAACTTAGATCGGGGAGACATACAACAGCAAGTGTCTGTGATTGAAAGGTTTGGAATTGCCTGTTTAACTCTTTGAGTGTGTATCTCTGAATATAAGATTTTCCCTTTGTGTTAGTAGTTGTATTCAAAGTAGCTTTAAGAGAAATGGGATCAGGATGCATTTTTCAAGGTCATACTGGTGGTTAAATACTTTTCTTTTCCCTCCCCTTAGAAGGATGCCTTTTCCTGGAATGGCTGAACTTGGTTCCAGTCATGATTTAGAAGACACCGAAAAAACTGAAAGTAGAGTCATGAAGAGTATTAAAGAGAACACCAAAGAACTTGTATACACAATGCCAGAAATGAGATATGATTATGAGGAGAAGAATGAATATTTCGCAGATGGAGCTGCTGCAAGAGAAAAGCCACAAGAGTGTGGAGAAGCTCAGGAGAACAAGGAAAACTTAGATTCAACACTAGAAACTAGAACTGCCTGTAATGATTATGGTATGATTTTAGAATATGAAAATCCTTTTTTAATTCAGTAAAAAGGCTCTAAATTGTAAAGGGCTCAGGAGAATATTTATACAAGATGAAGAATTTCCATTAATTACACTTTTCCAAAGCATTTAGTCATCATATGTTTGCATTAAGTCCAAATCTATACAGTAAGAGTCTGTAACTGAAGACTGAACTATAGGTGTCATTATGACTTCAGTTTGGCTTTGTAACTTTTTGTGATATATCATAAATATCATAAAAAGTTCTAATCCCCCTTACTAAAACAGATGATCAGTTTAAATTCCAAGTTGCACTGTCATTCCTGAGTTACTTCTGCTGCTAACTTAGCTCAGCACAGAGGAACTAAATAGATCTCTGATACAGTCTGTTCCTGTAGGAAGAACAGGATCTCTCCGCAGAAGTCTCAAAATGTATATTCTTCATTACTTCGTAATTATCGGTTTTTCTTCACAGGTTTGACAATTGATACAGGTATGGGAAGCTGATTGTGAGATTATTTATCATCAACATTCTTTTAACACAGTTCAGTGTTTTTATTGTTTAAACTGCAATTAGAGAGAATTTATGTGGAAAAAAAAAAAATGAGAAGGCACCTGCATAGTTTTGGGTGTGGTAGCTCATTGCCGCAGCTGCCATCCCTTTGTTTTTCATCCCTCTCTACTCAAAAATGAATCTAGAATATCTGGTAACCCCATATCCCTGATAAGAGAGTCCCAATGCCTTTGCAATACTGTTTTAATATTGGATCTTTCATTAAGAGCTAGTGTAGCACTGTGAATGCCGTACAACCACAGTGCAAACGGACTTACTTAGCACCACAGAAATTGGTCCCATTGCCTAACTGCGTGTGTACAGCCTTGTTAATCTCTTATTAACCAGTTCATGGACTCTGTGGTCACACAGGAAGTCCAGTAACAGGAAGATATGTTACTGTTTATACTTTACAAATAAAATATTTCCTTTGAGGAAGTAGTCAGGGTCATTGCACCAGTATAAGAAGAGACCTAAGACACTTAAAGGGAGATGTATGAACTGCCTTTCTCAATCCTGTGTTTTAACATCTGACAGTTTACTTCTAAAAACATTTAACTCAGTTCCAGAACTTGTCTTTTGAAAGATATAGTTTTTACTGACCTGTTGCTTGAGATTATTGCTTTTAAGTTGATTAGGAACAGGTTACATCATTTTAAATCTTTAAGCTGGATAGTTTTATCAAGTATTTTGCTTTACTTCTCAGTTCTTCCCCTTCCATGTTGTACAGACATCAAAGTCTAGAGCTGCCCTTCTGTCTTCTTTTGAGTAACTCTGAATTTACATTGGTGAAAGATGATTAGCTCTGTTCTTACTGAATGGCAGATTGCTACAAAGTATGCTACTCTCACCTACTTTGCTAATTTATGCAATTTAAATCTGTATTATTATTGGATTTGGCTAAAGGACTATCGTGGATAGTTTAACAACCTATGTATGTTCATTTATGAAATTTTATTGGTGGATACCAGTATAACAAGTTGGAATAAAGAAGAGGGAAATTATTAAAAGGTTTATTTACATAGTCCCTGTGGACCACATACAGTCATTTTACAATCATTGTAATAAAAAGTCTGTGTTAGAAGACTAAAAGCCTTTTAGCATTCCTTCTGTTTATGCCACTGAAAATCTCATAATTTCAGACATTCTTTCTGGTTAAAGCAATCATAAGAAGAGGGTCTTTAGACCATGCTGACCCTGTGGGTTTATAGATGAATACTCAGTAAATCTTTTTAAGATCTTGAACACTGGCTATTTCTTTTGTCTGACAGTTGCAATTAATGTTAGTTTTCCCTGAATTTACAGTGCTAAGAAGGGTTGACCTTTCTTTCATTAAATCTGTCTCTTATTTCCCTTTTCCAGATGCATGTGACCTTGTTCAAGATAGTGGAGAATGTCAGAATTACGTTTTGAAGTGGTACTACGACAAAGAGCAGAAAATGTGTGGTCAGTTCTGGTATGGGGGCTGTGGAGGCAATAGAAATAGATTTGAAACACAAGAAGAATGTGGATTCTTGTGTATAGAGTCTTCCTAGAGCAGACACACTTTAATTACTTTAATTCTTCTTTTAGACTATCAGGGTGATGTGGAAAAGGGATTCAAAAGAAGGCTTTACATAGCCACTTGGCTCCCATGTTTCAGTTGAAAGAAATACTTGCTTATAAAGTTATTACCTGGTGACTTAATTGTGAAAATTAAAATTTAAGCTATTACCCCATTGATCTCATATAACATGCTGAGTACTGAGAAATTTGTTAGCCAACAGCAGATTGTTTAAAAGGCATGGAGGTATTGAAACTTGACTTTCTTCCATATATACCAAAATGTGCACTTCCTCAATATGCTCCATAAAATAAAACAATACCTCAGAGATTTTCGTGAAGTAACTTTGGATGCAAGACACTAAAGCCAAAATGTTTCGATGTGTTTGCTTACATTTATCCTGTTTATAGAAAATACCAGAAAGCATTTAGATCTCAAATCTAGGACTAGTGAAATAGTCCTAGGACTTATTTCACTCTGTTTTAAAGGATTTTCTACCACAGAGTCATTCTTGGCTTCTTAATTATTTTTTTTTCTGAATAATCCAACATGTGAATAAAATAGATCATTCTCAAATATTATACTTCTGCTTCTAGTTCCTGAAACAGGTATAATTGTGTTCTCACTATGTGGCTTCTCATTGGTAAATAAGCACTGGTCCCCTTTCCTTGTTACCAGACGTTGGGCAAATGCATTTATTTTAGAACATTAAATTTTCATGGTTGCTCTTGAGTGAAAGAAAAGATCCCGAGGATATCATTTGATTAAAGATAATAAATACAATGCTGTGCAGGCCGGTGGGACTTAGATAAACTTCCACACTCTGCTGACTTATCCAAACTTTACTGTTGCCCATTTTATGTCTGTAGAAGTCACGGTGCATTTAACTTCACCTTGGGCCATTCTGCAGCGTTGGCTGTACTCACCAGGAATTTTGTTCTTCTCTGTATTCATCTGCAGCAAGATACAAGATTATATCTAGTGGCAGTTTTCTTTATGGTTCTTTGAAAAAAAAATATTAAACTGGAAGAAGAGCTGTAAAAATGATACAGAAAATGTTTCTTACTGAAGAGATAAAGTGAAAGAAAATTATATGTATTCTATATATGAGGATGGATGCCACTGGATACAGAGCAATATATCAGGCCCCCTGAAATAAAATTTAAAATTTCCCTTTATAATTACAGGCTTTGCTCTGATTCAGAGGAATCAGAGCCCTTCCTAGCAAAAGAACTCCTCCTGGCACCCCAGGAGGATGGTTGTTGGGTTGGCTGTTTCAAGGGAAGGTCTCCTCTACACACCATACAACTGATCCTACATGGAGTAAGTGGGTCATACTGATCACACAACGAGCTTGTACAGGAAATGTCAGTCATCCAGGAATCTTAGAAGTGCTCAGGGGCTGGCCAGAAGGCAAAGGTTTTGGAATATCACCAGCAAAGGAAGTGACATGTGCTGAAGAGGGCCCACTATACAATGAATTACCAGAAAGTGAGAAGTAATAGCCTGGTTTACTGATGAATCCTGCCAACTTGTGGGAAAATATCAGAGATGGAAAAGAGCTATATGGAGTCCCCTACCAGAAGTCACAGAACCTGCTGGAGGATGAGGTGAATTGAGGCAGTTTGCAGAGGTGAGAGCCATCCACTTGGTCTTAGACATCAGAACATCTGGAGAACATCAGAACAACTAACAGGTGGATCAGGATGCTAGGACTGAAGTGGCTCATGTGGTTTTGAATTGGCAACATAAGGGTGAATTATTTCTAGCTTGGTGGGCCCATGACATCTGGGGCCATCAAGGAAGAGGTGCAAAATATAGGTGGGCTTGTGATTGAGGAGTGGACTCGGCCATAGACACTATCACACAAGTTATCCATGGATGTGAAACAGGCACTACAATTAAGCAAACCAAGTGGATAAATCCTCTCTGGTAGGGAAGACAATGGATAAAATAATAGTATGGAGAGGCCTGGGAGCTTGACTATATCACACTCCCTCAAACCTGTGACAGTAAGTTCCATGTACTAACAATCGTAGGAGCAACCACCAGAGGTCCGGAAACATAACCTGTGCCCCATGCCATGGCCTGGAACACCGTCCTGGGCATTGAAAAGCAAGTCTTACAGCAACATGGTAGTCCAGCAAGAAATAACAGAACTCATTTCCAGAACAACCTCACAGACATTCAGGCCACAGAACATGGATTTGAGTGGGTATATCACATTCTCATGCACCAACCTCTGGAAAGATCAAACAATGTAACAAAACTGTTAAAGACTACACTGACAGCAAGGGGTGGTGGGACCTTCAAACATTGGGATACACATTTAGCAAAGGCCAGATGGTTAGAAAGCATTTGGGACTCTGCCAATCAGACTGGCCCTGACCAATCAGAATTTTACGTACTGTAGAGGAAGATAGAATTCCTGTAGTGCATGTTAAAAAGGTGCTGGTGAAAGCTGTCTGGGTTATTCCTACCTCAGGCAAAGGCAAACCTATTCTGTGCTAGCCCCAGCAGCTCGAAAGGACTGTCATGGTTTAACCCCAACCAGCAACTAAGCCCCACACAGCTGGGGAGGAGAACAGGAGGAGTAAAATGGAGAAAACTCAAGCATTGAGAGAACAACATTTTAATAAGTAAAGCAAAAACCATGCACACAAGGAAAGCGAAACAAGGAATTAATTCAGCATATCCCATTGGCAGGCAGGCGTTCAGCCATCCCCAGGAAAGCAGGGCTACATCACATGTCATGGTTACTGGGAAGATAAACATTGTCACTCTGAATATCTACCCTATCATTCTTCCCCAGCTTTAGATGCTGAGCATGATGCCATGTGGTATGGAATATCCCTTGAGTCAGTGGGAGTCAGCTGTCCCATCTGTGCCCTCCCAACTTCTTGTGCCCCTCCCCAGCCTTCTTAATGGTGGGGTGAGGTCAGGGACAGAAAAGGCCTTGACTCTGTGCAAGCACTGCTCAACAATAATGAAAGTATCCCTGAATTATTAACACTGTTTCCAGCACAAATCCAAAATAGACCCCTGTTGCAGCTATTGTAAAGAAAATTAACTCTACCCCAGCCAACTCCAACTCCAGCACATTCTCCACCCCTACAAACTGTGGGTTCACCATGGCTGGATGCCAGGTGCCCACCAAAGCCACTCTATCACTCCCCTCCTCAGCTGGACATGGGAGAGAAAACAGAAGGAAAGGCTCATAGGTCGAGAGAAGGATGGGGAGAGATCACTCAGTAATTACTGTCACAGGCAAAACTGGCTCTATTTGGAGAAATTATTGAATTTATTACCAGCCAAATCAGAGTAGGACAATGAAAAATAAAACCATCTCTTAAAACACTTTTCCTACAGTCTTTCCGCCTTTCCAGGCTTAACTTTATTCTTGAGTTCCCTACCTCCTCCTCCCCCTGAGCAGCACAGGGAACCAGGGAATGGCAGTTTTGGTCAATTTATCACACACTGTCTCTGCTGCTTCTTCCTTCTCAGGGAAAGGACTCATGCTCTTTCCCTGCTCCAGTGTGGGTTCCCTTGCACAGAGTGCAGTCCTTTGGGAACAGGCTGCTCCAGCATGGGATCCCTATAAAGTCGCAAGTCCTACCAGCCAACCTTCCTGAGCATGGAATCCTCTCTCCATGGGGCCACAGGTCCTGCCAGGAGCCTGGTCCAGCATGGGCTACCCACAGAGTTACAGCTTCCTTGGGGCATCCACACACTCCAGTTTGCAGTACTCCAGAGGCTGCAAGTTTTATTTGCTAGGATACAGTTGTTATCTGTATTATACAGCCGTTACTTCCTTTCTCTCCTTTTCCCCTCAGCTAGGCCAGATCTCTGAGCAAAGCCTGTGTTACTATAAGAATCTGGTAGCAGTCTGTGATACATCTGTAAAGGCTGATAATTTTATGCTTGGATAATCACAGTCCAGATCTTTGTCAGGCCTGTCAGGTGTCCAAGCCCCTGGAGATTGTGCTAATGTTGTATCAGGCTGTCCACCAATGACAAATCCAAGAGTTTTCATGAACTGAGAAGCTGATTTGATAGAGTAACACCTTGCTAGGGTTTTTAGTTTGAAGGAGATATCTCTGCAGATTCAAGTTCATTCAGGTGTCACCTTCTGCTCATTGGTCTCACCTTAACTTTGTGCAAGGTCAGTGTTCCCTGTCTGTTTTACCTTCCCAGACTGATCTTTGTGATCTTTTCTACACGGTGAGCTCTCCACTCTGGGGATCTGCTCTTTCTCATGAGATTGAAGAAGACAGAAGGAAGAGTCCAAACAGTCTCTGAAACCCGATAGCAAGTTTTTTGGCAGCCCCCTAGCAGTGCTCATCTCCAGCAACTATGCAGGACAGTTTGCTAGTGGGTGTACATCACTATGACTTGAGAGGCAGCTAGCCTAAGTCCAACTCACATCAAACCTCAATGCACTTTCTGGATGATAGACACCTTTGTCATCTATCTACATCCACTGTTTTCTGGGGTCAAGTAGTGTAGTAAAGCATTTTATATGAACCATTTCTGCCCAGACTGCTTTATTTCTGCATGAACGCATGTTTCATGCTCCAGGAACGTCTGTCAGCAGTTTTTAAGATCTTAAGGAAAATCCAGGATTACTTACTTCCAGATCCCATTCCCTGCTTTTTGGAAACTAAATAAATAAGTAAGTAAATAAAATAAATAAACAAAAATCTTATTGCTAGCTCTAAAATGTATCTAATGGAAGATCATCTCAATTTCATTTGAAAAATTTAGTGTTTGATTGTGAAAAAGAGGGACAATTTGACGTCTTTTCTTGAACTAAAACATTTGTTTGGTAGAATCTTTGTATTAAACTTTTCCAGATGTTTATTGCTAGCTTGCACAAATAGCTGAGAACACATGAAAAACTAATTAACTTAGATCTACAGCAAGGGAGGACTAGGGTTTACTGTAACAGTGATGTGAAGGAAAACACCAAGTGTTCTCTAGAGGAATCTAAGGAAGAGATACCATGTAATTCCTCTTCTTCGATTAGTTTTCTTGGCTGATTTAATCCACAGCTTTAAATTCTGAGATTCTCTTATCTTTACACTTTCAGTGACAAGAAGTGCCTGGGTTGCCACCGAATTCCCAAGGCAAGGCAGCACTAGCAGCCACGGCTGCCAGAAAGGGCATGTCTGAAGGGCTGTCGAGAGCCAACTCTCTAGACAATAAGTGTTGAAATTCAGGACTGCCAGTCCTGGCAAAGGAGATGTTCTAGTAGTGGAAGACCCTGTTGCAATTATCCTATCACTGTTCTGGTCCTGCCTCCCTATCTCAGCTGTGCCTGATGTGATGGAGTGCAGTAGACTCCGCCAGAGTGCTTAGATCAGCAGAGCCTAAGCTCATGAGGAATGTAAGTACTTGGCTGTAACCTTGCTGGAGTTTTAAAAGAGTTACTGGCTTTATGCCCAGAAATATTGCATTGCAGTAGTTTACACTGACGGTTGTTTTCTAATTACTTGTGTTTTTATACATGCAGGTTTAGTAAATAACATACAAACAATCCTGAAAAAGAAATTAATT